AGTGACACAGGTCATGGGGAGGGGGCTGAGCCTGCTGTCCCCATCCCCCCAGACTGCCTTGGCCCCAGCGTACCCATGTCCAGGCTCCTGCAAGAACCCATCCAAAATTAAACCCCAGCATTTTTAATTCCTCATTTCTCTCACACCCTTTTTTTCCCTTTTTGGCTCGCAGGCAGAACTTCCACAGCCGAGCTGCAGCCAAGCTGCACGTGTTCCTACCCCAAACAAACACAGGACTGGCCTACAAGGCTCAGACCAGAGCAATTACTAAAAATAATTAAAAAAAATCCAACCAGCCCAACCCAACCCTTGGCAAGCCAAAGAAAACCCGAGGGACGAGGCTCTCACACCCTCCCCTTGTGCAGAGATGCTTCTCCCCCCCGTGTGGGTCAGTCCCTCGCCCACCCACACCCACTGCCCAGGGGCAAACGCAGCCCCTCTCTGGGGCAAGGGGAGGTCGGGGGTTCCCCCTTGGCGTCCCGGGGGGCTCACGGTGCTGGTGCCCCTCGGCTATCCCTTCCATGGGCAGCGCTCCCTCCCGTCACGCTGCTGGGATTTGCTGAGCATAATGGGGCTGAAACAGCTCAAAGCTGTTGGGCTAAATATATCGTCGTTGCTGGGGAAATAAATAATAAACAGCGGCTCGATTAGGATCTGGTGGTGTAATTGGTTCTGCTCCGGGTGGCTGGAGGGCAGCCCCGGCGCTCGGAGCAGCAGCACTTCAGGTACCAACACAGTAACAGTCAGTGAACAAAAGACCCAACCAACCCCAAATTCAAAAAAAAAAAAAAAAAAAAAAAAAAAGAAAAAAGAAAAAAAATACTCAAAAAACCCAAACCAAAACAAACAAAAAACCCCAAACCAACAAAAACCCAACCCCCCCCCCCACGCAAAAGCAAGCCCCAAAACAATCCCCCCCCCAAAAAAAACCAACCAACCAACCAACCAACAAAAAACCCTAGAGGCAGAAGCAGCACGTGCATCTCCCAGACCCAGAAATATTTATTATAGGTAATGGCTGCAGCAAAATTAATAAGCTTTAGAAAGCAGCATAACATCTCCGGGATCTATGGGAGCGGGACAGGGAAGGCAGCTGTACGTCAGGCAGACGGGGCTCGAGGAGCAGCTCCAGGGCCAAGCAGGAGCAGCCAAGCCTCCGTCCCGCAGTGCCCCCGGTGCCCCCCAGCCCTGCACAGGAACCGGATCCCGGTGGAAGTGTCACCGTCCGGCTCAGCCGGGTGAGGAGGACACGGCAGACACTCCCTGCTCAGCCCAGCGCTGGCTGCCGTCCAGGCCGGTAGCTCTCCCTCAGGAGTCATTGTAGGTAAACAGCATTAGAATGAGCTTGTTTGCACAAGAGCTGCTCCGGCAGCGGCTGGAAGGACGAGTTACAACCAAACCCACAACCCGCAGCTGCCGCAGCAGCAGAGCATCCCGGCCGGATGGGCTGCAGGGCCATGGAATTTCACCGGCACAGCCACGACCCCTCAGCTGGTCGTGGGCACCTCCCGCTGCGGCAGGGCCGGGCACAGCAGCACTTCCCAGTGCAGCCTTGGGAAAAGATCCTCACTGGCTGCTGGAGCAGCGGGAACCAGCCCAGGCAGCCCACGGTGTCATCAGCTGGAAAGGAGAACTTACCTTTAGGTGTGTTTGTGGAAAGGGACTTTGGACAAGGGCATGGAGTCACAGGACAAGGGAGAACGGCATCACACTGACAGAGTAGGGTTAGATTGGATATTGGGAAGAAATTCTTCCCTGTGTGGCCCTGGCACAGGTTTCCCAGAGAAGCTGTGGCTGCCCCATCCCTAGAAGTGTTCAAGGCCAGGTTGGACAGGGCTTGGAGCAACCTCGTCTAGAGGAAGGCGTCCCTGCCCATGGCAGGGGGTGGCATAAGATGGTCTGTGAGGCCTCTTCCAGCCCCCTGTGCCTGGGAGATGCTTTCATTGAGGGTTTCTTCACTCCTACATTCTGGCCCTTCTGGGGCTCATTCCCAGAGCCTCTCTCACCACCCGTCACTCCTCCACCGCTCTTCACTCACAGGTCGTTGTGAAGGAAAGCTCCGACCAATCTGCAGATATTTAATTATCTGATTGCCCTGGGTAACAGCTGGACCCCAGCACAGGGTAGGGAGGGGGAAGCAGCAGGCAGGAGGCGATGAGGGCTGCGGGGTCTCCCAGAGAGATGGACCCACGGCAGCAGGGACACAAAAATCTCCCTGTGGAGATGGGTTTGTTCAAACTCCACCTCGCTCCCACCTCCAGACCTTGTTCTGCCATCCCCTCCTAATCCAAGCCCACGGTTGGTCTCCAGGACACCCGGCTGATGCAGACTTTTCCCCCTTCCTGCATGCGTCAGTGAGTTTAGAGCCCAGGTGTGATTTTTCTAGACCCTTTTGTCTGAGGTTTAGAAGCAGAATAAGCTTCATTAGCAGGAGGGAGGATTTACAATAAGTAATAGGTAGGTGCTACCTTGTGAGCCGTCAGCATTGTGCTAAATTACCAGCTGCTTTGCCGAGCTCATCTGCAAACAATCAGCTCCTCACCCAGAGAATAGAGCCTTAAACAGCTATTTCTTAAAAAAAACCCTTTGCTTTTAATCTTTATTTCCCAAAAGCTAAAATTTTGCATTAGCCCAAATGTACACACTATAATTGCTTTGAGGTTTATGGTTCATTAGAATAATTAAAATACCACACGCTCGCTGATAAAATACCATGTCCCTCCACCACCAGGCTCTGGGTGTGTGCTGGTAAAGTCTTCCCTTGGCTACAGACCCACCTGATCCCTCGATGTGCTGAACTGCTGTCAATGAAACAGGGGGTTGGATGCTTTTTTTAGAACCCCAGTCCAACTGCAACCCAAATCCAACCCAATCCAATCCAACCATAAACCAACACCAAACCCAATTCAACTCAATCCCAACCCAAACCCAACCACGACCCAACAAATCCAGCCCAACCCAATTAAATCCAACCACAATCCAACCCAACCTAATCCCAACCCAAATCGAACCCAATCCAAGTGCAACCCAACACCAAGCCAAAACCAATCCGAGTAAAATCCAACCCAAATCCAATGCAAACCCAACCCAACACAATCCCAAACCCAACCTGATCCAACCCACCCCACACAAAGCGCCCAGCAGGGCACTGGGAGGTGTGAGAGGAGCGCTGGCAGTAGTCTGGGCGCTCTCAAACCATGTGAGTTGCTTCACTTGCTGATTCAAAACTCCCAAAAATCAGTAAAGAGACAAGGGCAGCCTGACCACAGGCCTGTGGGGACCTCAGAAACGCCACATGTGTCAGTGGCCACTGGGACACTGGGACCAAGGCTGGCCCGTGGTGGCCTGGCCATGGCCAACTTGTGAGACTTGTGTCCTTGACCCGAAACATGGCAGGGCTGCGCTGTGAGACTTGTCCAATGTCAGTTCCAACAGATATTATTGCACCATCTCTTTTTTTTTTTTGGTTTAATGCCTGAAATGACAGGCCAGGGACCGTGAGAGAGGCTCTGCCCATGGGCAATGCCACCACCCAGCTTTCGTATCACTTTGACTGATGACTTTAATATTAAGCATCAAACGCCCTGTCAGGCTGGTTTAAAAAAGTATTTCCTATCTTTAATTTGTCTTGGAATAAACTGATGTTTACGACACTATTAAAGCTGGCCCAAGAAGGGAACATTTAGTAAGCATTCCAGCCAAATTTTTCTTTTTGGAAAGTTTTAATTAAAAAAAAATATTCCACTGGCTCTCCTGTAAGAGCAATAACTTAGGCTTGATTTCCCTTTCCTCCAGGAGACGTCTTGTAAATATGTCTGCATGGGACTTTTGTTCCCAGAAACCCTCTAGGTAGCACATCCAAAAGCTCTCATGTGCCTCGGAAAAGGAACTTACTCCTGTCTCAGAGTAATGGGAGCATCTGAGGAGCCAAAGGGGGACACTGCATGGAAAGGTTTTGTGGGGACACGGCTGGCAACAGCCTCCTGGCACCGGGTGGGCTGTGCTGGTGCTCACACAGCATCGCTAAACAGGCCCTTAAATACCGTGTCCCTAAATAATGCCTTTTGGAGTGGTTTTGGCGTGTTTGCAATTCCCATTCATCCACAGCATTCTCTGCTCTGGCAGCATCCCGTGAAGGCAGGAGTGATGATGGAGGAGCAGCTCTGGATGGGACAGTCCCAAACAAAAGCAAAGAGTGGTGACAGGAAATATTAAGCATTTAAAAAAAATCCTTTCCATTAGTCCTTCCCATCCCTCTCCTAACCCTCTGGGAAGGTGTTTTGTTACACCTGCCCCAGGCAGGGCCAGTGCCAGCTCCAAGCAGCCCCACGGTCCCAGCACCAGCCGCAGCCATGGAGTGATGCCGAGGCAGGATAAAGCCAGACCTCATCTTATGCCAGGGCTGGATAAAGCCCAGCCCCATCTGATGCCAGGACTGGATAAAGACTGGCCCCATCCTCAGCTTCAGGAAAACCAAGAAACAGCACAAATGTTGACTATTAAATCCAAGGATGGACATGAACCAGCAATGTGCCACTGAAACACTACAAACCTCTCACCCTCTTCTTCCAACACCTCAGAGCAGAGACCACCAGGCAGGTGGGGAACTCCACCCCTGCCAAAACCACACCAGGCAGGTGAGGAGCCCAGAGCATCCCTCAAGGCACTGGGGTGTTATGGAGAGGGTGTGATCCCCTGGGAACAATCTGTGCTGCCTGCCCTGGAAAGCAGAAAAAAAATGATTGACTTTTTCCTCTTTTTTTTTTTCCCCCAAGACAAAAGCCCAGGAAGTTTAATTACTGTGGAAGAAACGTGAACAAGGCTGATATTTCAGCTCCCTCTTCTCTCAGTGACACCACAGAGCAAACGAAGCAGCAGCCCAAGGCTGGGGGAGGTGGGGGATCAGGGTGTTTGGGAGCGTCTCTGTGACTGGTTTCAAATGTCCTTCACTTCTCTCATTACAGCTCTTCTAAAAATATCAAATATAGATCTTTCCCTCATAATATTTTAAGATACTCTATTTATACATTAATTCTTTCAAAAATAAAAAGTGACACATACAGCAATTCAGTCACTCAGAGTCTTAAAAATTATTACAAAAAGCCACGACATCCATCCCCAGGGTGGCGGCAGCGGCGCTTTGGTGCAGGACTCACCACCGCGGGCTGGGGGTTCTTTTGAGACTTTCTTTTATAAAATATAATAATTCCAGCTCTCAATATCCTGGCTCTGCAGTCAAACAGGGCTCCTTCTTCCACCCTCCCCCGTAAAAATGATCTGGAATGATGAGGGACTTGCACACTCGCTCTGCCAAGCCCTCACAGTGTGTCCACGGAGGCAGGAGCATCCTCTGAGGGCAGATGGAGCTGAAGGACTCGTCCTTTGCTCTCCACAGATCCCAGGTTGGCCACATCAACAGCAAATGCTCTGTGAGGATGGAAATAATTCACCTTGTACAAGTAGCACTGCACAGACTTGGCACGGACAGACAACACACCAGGTTGCAAGCAAGGAGATGCCTAAAAAACAGTGCTGGAGAGTGGCAGACACAGCTTCAACACGGCACATCAGCGGCCTGGGCACTGGTGGGAGCATGGATGTGTCTGTGCAATGGGAATTAGGAAGTGGAGGTACCAAATAGCCAAAAAACAGGAGCAGGGTTTGTCTGGGGCTGCACCAGGAAGGCAGCGTGGGCTGCTCACCTCGCCCAGCACTGAGGTTTATCTCACAAAAATCAAAATCCTTAAAAAAAAAAAAAAAAAAAGAGCTTGAGAGGTTTGGTCCAAAATATCCTTACTCTGCCATGCCAGTACCTGCTGAGCCCCACCAGCCCTGAGCCCCCACAGAGCCCACCCAGGGCTCGCTCTCGCCTGCAAGACCCGGCACTGTGGTGGCACGAGGAGGGCAGTCGCCTCACCGGGGCTGCCCAAGTCACCACGGGGGCTGCCCAAGTCACCACGGGGGCTTGGCCCCCTCAAAGTGCTGCTGCAGCCCCAGCCTGGGGTTTGGTGTCAGACGAAAGCACCCCAACCCTTCCCCTGCCCCCAAGGTTAGGTCAGGGTGCTCCCTGGCAGCATGGAGAGTGTCGCTCAGGCCAGCTGGAATGCAGGGATGGATTTGGGAGCACAGGACTCGCTGCTGGTCGCTCCTCCTTGGCAGGAACACTGGTGAGTGGGGGTCCCCCAGCTCCCACTGATGCTCCATGCAGCCAGTGAACGGTCCTGCTGTGAGGAACATCCTGCTCAGGGGCTCTTGTGCCATTCACAGTCTGCAGGCTCAGCCCCTTGGAGTACTTGGTTGCAGTGTGGAGCTGTCCCTTTCCTGGTTTTCTCATCACTGGGATGCAGGCTTCGGGCATCTCTCCATCTCCCCAGGACTGCTCCCATGCAGCCCTGGAGCGCACACCGGGAGGAGAGGAGCATGTCATGATCCACAAAAACATCCATCCAGCGGGCACAGGGATGTCCTCACCCCACGTCACACAGGGGCCTGCAGGACTCCGCCATGGATACCATGGAACACTCAGCAGTGGCGCTGCACAAACCCACAGTTATAGGAACTCCACATAGTTCTCAGGGATCAATCCTGTCTTGCCATTGAGGGTCCCTTCCAGCCAGCCAGGCTCCTGGGATGGGTGAACTGTGGAGAGAAGGAAAGGGCAGGTCACTACAGGAGGGGACGGGGGTTGCTGCTCCTTGTGTGCTGACCGCATCAAAGCTGTTCTTGGAAGAGAGTGAGACCTTTAATTTGTGTTTATTTTTAAGAAAGGAAAACCAACAGAGTTAAAAATGAGCTTTGGGGTCCCTTCCAACCCAAACCATTCGATGATTCTGTGAACACACCAAGGGGCTCAGACAGCTGAAGTGCTCTGTCTGTGAACACACCAAGGGGCTCAGACAGCTGAAGTGCTCTGTCTGTGCCTGCTCTCCCGTGGGACTCCTCGGCCTTTCCTTCCCCAAGTGAATCCCACCACACGACTAAGTGAGCCGCACACTCAGCTGCAGATGGCGTGTCCACATATTATCTGGAGCTGCTGGGCTGAGGGAAGTGAAGCATTTGGGATAAAAACAGGGGTTCAAAACTTTCTCCAGATTTGGGCTAAAATCTCTTTGAGGTTGGAGAGCATGGTCACATCGTAACCCTGCACATCCCGGCTCGGCCTTGGCCCAGTCTGGGAGGGAAACTGCATTAGCGAATGCTCCCGGCGGGAAAGCAAACCCTGCAATCTGATTGTGTGCAACCAGAAACCTGATCAGTCCTCAAAAGCCTTTCTTTATTCAATCAACTCCTGCAAATTTGCTGATTTTGCAGGAGCCAGGCCAGGGCTACACCGATGCAGTGTTGCGGAGCTGCCCCAGCCTCCTGTGACTCTGCAGGTCTGACTGTTCACGCCATGTCTGGAACCAACCTGGACAAGACACGAGTTTAAACAGAGCTCTCAAATGTGCCATTATTGACCATGTGGGTGTTGCTCACTGTGGGCAGCAGTACCCCAGTATCCCCATTGGATTAAGCTGCTGCTTGGTCACAAAGCTTAAAGTCCAACTAGTACCTGTCTGCATGTATTTCTGAGATCTGTTTGCCTTTGCTGGGGTTTGTAAAGCCCCTTGATCACAGCAAGACTCCCACCAAGCTGTGCTGGTTCTAACTCCAGCCAACGTGAGCCCCGACTGCGCTGCTGAGTGACTGGAACACACTGTGTACTTTTTCCCTTGAATAATCCATTGATTTTTATCAGCAAACATAATGTATTTAATTCAAACTTGTTCCCCTCCTAATTCCCCTCCGAGCTGCTCTGATTCCCACGGGCTCTCAAAGGGGAGACCATGTTTATTTATTAGATGACTATGGAGCTGCTTAGATGAGGGGTTGTCTTTAATTCACATGGACTCATTATCTTCCCCTTTCTGCTGTATTCTCCTCTATATCCCAGGGCAAAACCAGTGTCTGTGGTAGCAGCTTCCCAAATGACAATGCATAACATATAAAAGCCAAGAACTACTTGGAAAGTAGTAAAAAATCTTTCCTTTACACTGGGATTATAACTAAGCCAGAGCTGCTCAGTTCCATGGGGCACAGATACTTGGTGCAGGAAACAGAAAAATCTATGTTCATTAATGTTGTCTTTCACTAAGCAAAGCCCACCTATTCCAGTGCTCAGTATCCAGAGGGACAAAGCACATGATACTTTTCCATCTTCTGCATGAAACATGACAGCAACTGCACAGAATATTTCTGGTGCTGGTACGTGGAATCTAATCTCTTCTACCCAGAAGCCCTCCAGGAATGGCTCAGAAGAGGGGTCCGTACCCATGGGAGGGACCTGGCACCGTCACACAGCCTTGCTCTGCCGGTGGCACCGGGCACAGCTCTCGCCATCCTGCTTTCCCAACACTCCAGGAACAACATCCTAAATATTGCACTGAAAAATGAGCCCATGTACCCCCAGGACTCACCGTTGTCAAACACGGTGCCAGCCGTGAAGGAGAGCTCCGAGTCGTGCTCGGCTTTGCAGGCGTAGAGCGCGCGGGCTTTGCGCAGTGGGGAGCTGCAAAGAGAGGGCAGAGGTTGGTACAAAACCGCCCAGACAGACCAGCACCCCCTGCTGTGCCCAGGGGCGGCCACGTGCTTGTTGAAGAGGGGTCCAAAGGCCTCTGCTGCTCTGTGAGGGTCCATGGCTACACTGCTTGGGGGAAGCATGAAGAAGACACCAGATGAGGCTGAAGGTTCTTAGGGACGAGCCACATTTCACCACAAGGTAAATCCCAATCTGACCCCAGCTGGCACCATGAGGACTAGAGCCCAGACTGGTGCCCACACAGCAGCAGCCCAAGCCAAGGTCCCCAGGAGAACTCCAGGCACTGGGCTGGAGCTGGAATGTTCTGTGAGTCTCTGAGGGGCCATCACCAACCAGAGGTTGGCACAGAGCAAAGGTGTCACCAGCCCTGCTCTGCCAAACCCATCACTCCCGGGTGCAGCTGCAACCACAAGATTTCTCAAAGAAAAATCAGCACTGGGGGAAAGGTATTTCAAAACAGAAAACCAAGCAGGTCCATGAAGAATTTGCTGCACTTCTTTAGAGACTGTACCTGAAGGTAAAAAAGATTTAACAGCCGTTAGATTTTGCTGGAAGTGTCAGCGTGCCCACGCTGCGGGGGAGGGAATCAGAGTGCAGAGAGCCAGGAATGGAGCGATCCACTGACAGAGCAGGGAAAATGAGGGACCTCACGGTCCCCCCAGCAAAGTGCAGGCATACAAAGCTGTCCCCACACATGGAGCCTCGTGGCTTTGGGCTGGAGCAAGGCTGGTGCAAAGCTGGGACACTGCCACGCTACGGTGACGGTGACAGTGACAGTGCCAACCTGCCCAGACACTGGGTCACACCACCAGCCAGCTCCATCCAGCACTCTGCAGGCTGCTCGGCTGGGACACGGCCAAGAGAAGTGATGGAAGTGCCCCTGGGAGCTGCTGGGGTGGGGAACAAGGCGTCACCATTCTCAGGTCAGTGCTTTCACCAGCTTTTATCTTTCCAAGGACTTGAACTTCCTCAGAGTTCCCTCTGAGCAAGCCCAGGGAAGCGGCAGTGCTTTGTGGCAAAACCAGTTCCCTTTCACAGCAAACCCCAAACCAGGGGAGCTGTGAATGGTTTTGGTTTTGCAGTGAAGAGAGCCCTGAAATGAAGGTCTCTCCTCTCAAAATTCCAGCTGCCTGACACAAGCAGCTTAAAACACTTAAAACCCAGGGTGGGCAAACAGTCCTCCCACTCCAGAGGGTCCTTCACTGCTGGGGAGGTACCACTCACGTGGAGTGCTTAAGAGACCATCAGATGAAAAACAAAAGGTATTTTCGGGCTTACTACCTTGAATTATTCAAGTTGTTGGTTTTCTCCCCAAAAACCAACCCTTGCAGCCTGGTGTCCCTGGGCCCAACCTGCCCCTTGCCCACTGGCTGCTCTCTGGTTGCCACTGTGCCTAGCCAAGCCCTGTGGGGCTTTTGGGGACCCTGATGGTTGTTCTCGTTCAGTTCCTGCCTCCAGGCATGGTCCAAGGCCAGCATGGCACTCCAGAGTGTTGCCCATCTGCCCTTCTGTGGGCACCTGGAGGATGCTGAGCCTGTCCCTGAGGAGGAAGGCTGCTCGCAGGGCATCACGCACTGGCAGCCTCCGCAGACGTGCAGCAGAACAAATCAATGCCCTGCCAAGGGGCAGCAGCATTTGTGTGGTTGCAGGTGTGGGGGAAGAGCTTGGCCTGTGCCTGGCACCACCAAAGAGGTTTGACACATCTCCCAAGTGCAGGGATTGGTGCCCCAGCTCTGCACCTGCCAAAGACTGGGAGCCACGATCCGCCAGGAATGGAAACAGCCTCTTGCTCCACTGTGCCAGGGTGGGCTCAGACAGGAGGAATTCCATTGGAGGGCACCCAGCACATGGCCCAGCAGTGACACTGAGTGTCTGCTGGGACCTGCAGTGCAGGCCCTGTGTCCAGAATGTGGCACAATGCCACTGCAGCACTAGGTCCAGCTCCTGGCACCCCGGGGGACCCCACAGGGCTGGCACACAGCACAGCCTGACCCACTGTTCCAGGGGCCACTGGGAATCCTCCATTGGTCCATCTGCAACTTCCAGGACCAATTTGCTCCAGAGATGCCCAAGCACACAGACATGGGCAGAGAGCAGCAAACACCTGTGCTGCCCCATGTCCTTCACCCTCCTCAGATCCCAGAAGAAGCGGTGGCCAGAAAATGGGGGGTGACTGTGCTTTTCAAAGGTTCTTTACTCCTTGTAGTACACTTCTTACCTGTTGCAGAGCAGAGTAAAGCCAACTCAGGAGCTGAAGTGGCCAGAGAAAACCACCAAGACCAGCAGCGACACCGGGCACTGCGGCCACGACCTTGTGAGCACCAGCTCCTGCTTGCCTGGGCAGGAGATTCCCAGAGGCCCAGGGGGGTTCAAAGAGTCTCTCCTGGGGCAGAAGGGTTTGAAAGCTCCTCTCTTGCTGAGTGCAGACAGCTGTGTTGCAGGGGTTTGAGCAGGATGCAAAGGGAAAGGGAAGTGAAGTGGGAGAAACCAGGGAAATTAAACAGAAATAGCAAAAGCAACAAAAAGCAAAGCGAATTGTGCAACAGACCTGATGGGGGATGAGTCGCTGGACGTAGAGGAGGTGGGCATAGGACTTGATGGCGCGGAGAACATGGGCCAGGACGGTGAGAGGGGTGACGTTGGGCTTGGATTCTGAGGGCTGCAAGACATAACCAGAGACCTTATCAACGTGCAACCACAGCAACAAACAGCAACCGAGAGACAGTGAGACGACAGCCGACGATAGCAAGTGCCTTGGGAATATTCAGAGCATGAGACACAGCTACGAAATGAAGTGCCAAGACCTTGGGAAGTGTTTCAAGGCCGGATCTGCATTTCTCTGGACAACAAGAGCTGGATCTTCCAATTAACCCCTGATCCATCGTCCCCTCTGCTGAGGAGGGGTCTCACTGCTGGCAAGCCAGCCACTTACCTGCCTTGTATTTCCCCCAGTGCTGCCAGAAATAGCTGCTGGTAGTTCTGGACATTAATGATGCCTGTGACCAGCCTCCACCCCCTCTGTATGTCACTTGTTGCAGTGCTCATGCAGTTGGTGCTATAAAACTGTCATTGATTATGTTTTCCACGTTTTACATCGCAGAACTCTTTTTTTTTTCCCCTCATGCAAACAGCTCTTCACTTTCAAGACACAGCTGTCAACTGAAGCTGAATCAATTTACTGAACTGGTAAATGCATGCAGAAGTGTTTGGTTCCTTCAAAACTGTTCGATTCAGGTCATTCTCTGGTTCGCTGAAAAGCAATTATTGTACTAAAATACCAATTTGACTCTGATTCATCTACTGTTTCTATGTTTAGGAACTCATTGGTATTCCCTGTCCAATTCAGATTATAAACTCTATCCCTGATAAAACAACAGAAAATCCTCCCCCTACTGCAAATGCTTCTGTAAAAGAGAGAAGTTTTGTAAAAGCATCATGGTTTATGTTTTTTCCCTTGCGAGAGGGACAGTACCTCTGATCACACAGGTCTGTGATGAGGTGGGCACAACCCACCAGCAACCCCCAGGATGTCCTCATCCCTGTCCCTGAGCTGGGGCCTCCCAGGGGAGAGGGAAGGGATACAGGGAACGGGGGCTTTAGAACATGTGGGAGAACCTCAGCCCTGCTGGAGCAGTTCAGACCAACAATTTAACCTTCTGTAGTGTCCTCTGGCTGCCACCGCACAGGGATATTCATGACATGGACACTTTCCCCCTGGAAATTGGACCACCCCTGCTTAAGGCCAAACTCTTGGCTTTACTCCTCATAGGAGCTGTGTCACTGGATTCAACAGACATTGATGAATTACAGGCAACACCTTTATTATGTCAGAGGATTATATGCGTATAGAAATGGGATACGACAGTGCAGCACCAGAGGCTGGAAAACAGGGAATGCTCACAGGCAGGCTACAACCAGAGATCCTCAGAATGTTCTGCTAATAATAATCGTTATTTAAGAACAATTTTTTTGCATTTTTTATCAATAAAACTGTCTGTCATTTGAAAAATGAGTAATTACCTGTTTGCCTTGGTCTTTAGCGAACCTGACAGCCATTGGTACTTACCAGATACTCGACCTACTGCCACCTCCAAAGAGAAGGAGGTGCTACCAAGACCACCAAGTCATCCCAAATTGCCAAAATTAACCCTTCAAGCACCAGTTCTTGTGAACAGATGGCACAATAATTCCCTTCTCCAAGAGGAGCCTGGCCAAGGTGGAACTTGGAGGGGCGATGAGCTGGAGACCAAAATGTGGCTGGGCCTGACCCGCTGAGAGTGGCCACCAACACCCATCAGCCCTCTTGCCACTGCGCCCACCGCGGCTCCAGGCAGAGGGCTTGGGGTGCAAGAGGACATCTCACTGGGTGTGTCAGTGTGGGATGGGGCACCGTGACATCCCACGGGGTGCACCAGCGATGGGACAGCCACCACCTCTGCCACTGACCTTGGTTGTCCTCACTGCACGACAGAAGGAAAATCCAACTGTACAGGGCTCTGGGACTAGAAATTCCCAATGCACTTTCTGAGATGAAATCATGTCAAAAGAATGCAGCTCTCACTTCCCCTAAAGTCGCTCTGTCATCGCTCCACAACTGCGCACCCGCTACACTAATGGCAGTGGGGAATGCAATCAGCAGGACTCTAGATGTCTCTGCAATGGTGGGTAAAAAAGCTCGACTGCAAGCACTGGCACTCAGGCCAGCCTCTGCCTAAGAAGTTATCAATAATTTGGAGTAGGATTTTGGTGTCTTTGGATCCTTGGTGGCAAAGAAAACACTCTCCATGCCCACCAAACCAGCGGAGAGAACTGTTAACTAATTGGTGTGCAGACCACTCTGTTCCCATCAGGTTGCTCACAGAAGAGATGAACATGGTCTTACAATGGCTGAGCTGCTCCTGTGCAGCTCTGCAAGTCCGTCCAGCACATTTCCTCAAGAAGAACCCATGGATACCTCAGGACCCACCTGAGCTGCAGCCCAGCACTTACAGACCTCAGATGCACACAAAGGGTTCATCTCCCTTCCATGAAATACAGGTATTTACTTTCAAGATGCTTGCTTGAATATCACCTTTCTGAGCTTATCTAAGTGCAAGACCCGAGTCCTGTCTCGTTGGAGGTGTCAGTGCATGCGATCAAATGGACTATCCCAGCATCTCTGGCATTTTGGAAAACAGTTTTCTTGTAGGATCCAATTTCCTTTGTTTCTCATGAAAAGAGCAGAGGTGGTGAGAGGCTGGGGGGAAGTGCTGGCTGCTGCCTGCAGGCAGCAAATGTCATCTGGACCTTTTTTTTCTTTCTTCTTACTCGGGAGGGCTTTGCGAGGGGCTCTTCCTGTTGGGTGCACAGTGGAAACAAAACAGAGAAAATTGCTAAGAACCAAAACCACCAGAAGCAGCAAACAAAGAAGTGGCTCAAATTAAGAGTCTTCCAAGGTGGGAATGGACATTTCCTCAGCAGAAGCAGCCAAGGGAACTCCATGATTCTGTAGCCCAAGGCATCCCGAGGCTCTCGCCTTTCCTGCTGGTCCGTCTGTGCCCTCGGAAGCAGCGACTGAGACCCCGTGAGGAGGGACCTCTGCCAGGAATGGGCAGGGTGAGGAGGGTGTTGTGCCACAGCCTCTGAGGGGGCACCTGCACCTTCCACTGCATGTGGCAATCCCTCTGACAATCCTACTCTTCCAGTAAACAGTGTACTTAGAAATGAATTTAGGAGCTAAATCCTCCTCCCTGCTTCTCGTGCCTGCCATACACACTGCCTTTCCCGTGCAGATGTCTAATTTGCTGCCCAAACATGTTAAAAAAAGCAGTAACTCTTGCTTCAAAACTCTGCTGGAGTTGTTGGAGCTAAAAAATCTCTCTTCTAACCTGTTTTCATAACCTGCCTCTTTCATTCCTCTTCCTCTGCAATCCGCCCCGGCTGCCTCGCTTTCCTCACCCAGCTCAGGCCCTCCAGGCATGTGCAGCTCTGAAGGACTGTTCTCAGTGGGTTTCCAGACAACTTCTGCTGCTTTGTTCTCTGGGCTGAGAGGACATCGGTTCCACTTCAAACATGTTTACAACTTGTTGTTTATTTTTGTGGAACTTGGGGCTATTTCTGACACAGAACATCTCACAGCTATGGATGGGCAGAGCCCACTGAGGGATTAAAGCCCTTTCATGAAATCACCTCAAGAAAAACAACAATATTCCCTTTCTGACATGATCAGTACCTGACTGCAGCATAATACATCAAGGATCATCCAGCCCTTTACTCCCTGATCCATTCCTCTAGAACAAAGCTGCAGAACATAAGGTTCTTCTCAAAGATAACCAGAAAAAAGAAAATTACAGTTTTATGTAATGCCAGGGCACTTCAACTCTGCTGAAACAAGGACAAGACTGCAGGTCCCCAGCAGACATGGCTCTGTTGCCTGAATGAAATGGGATGCAGTCTTGGGTTGGGAAGCTCAGGGAGCTCATGCAGTGCCACAGGTCCTAGCAAAGCTTGGAGTAGATGGATGGGTTCTAGGAAGCAGCTCCTGGGCACTGGCTACACTGTGGGTCAGTGACACACCACCCCATACCTGACCACCAGCTCACAGGGCTCCAGACTGGCAGGGTTCTTCCTCTGTTTGGTACTTTAACACAAGAAAAACGATAAATTCTCTCCAGAGTTATTCTCTCGGGAGTTATCTTGCTGCATGGTCATTTGGGTGAAAACAATGACACATTTAGGGAAATAAGCAGCCAAAATGCCCTGTGGTCAGCATTGTTTGACCAAACTGGTCCAAAAAAAAGCTCAAATTCTTCAGCATGGACCTTCCCCACATCTCCATTTACCAGTTCCCCATTTCCATCTCCATCAACACAGACTACAGGATCTTCTTTCCAAGAGCACGGACGTGTCCCTCTGTAATCCTGGTGACACCCAGCACATGGGTGTGTCTTGTCACTTTGCTGCTTGGCTGAGTTCCCACATGTAGAAATATTTCCCTGTTTTAGTCATTTCATAAACCATCTAAAAGCTTTTCTACTGTAATAAGAGAGAGACCAGATGAGTTCTGACTTTGGGAAGGAGAGCCGGAGTTGTTGTCTCACTTAATAGACATTTCCATTTCCAAACGGAGCCGGATGGTGCTCAGTGGTGCAGAGGGATGTGATGACTGTGCTGGTTTGGTACAGAATTCTGGCACGGAGCTTACAGCCTGCTGTTAATGCTGAAGAAAGTGAGTGATAAGCAATGGATGTGTTTTCAGCATGAGTAAGCGTTGGAGGCACTGCAGGAAGGAAGTTTGCAGGACCAGCGTGGTGTCAGCACAGGTGTCCTCCCCAGCAGGTGAGATCCAGGTGATGGGAGCATCGTGCCATCTTAACATGGAACAGTATTTCATTAATAGTCACACAGTTCATTTATAACAGAGAATTACCAGCATCACCAGCAAGTTACCGACCCGCCAGTCACTGCTCTTATGTGGGACCAGCACTGGAAGTGGGACAGGCAGGGCAGGGGAATGGAGGCAACCACAGATCCACACTAATGGGGCTTTGGGTTCTACCCAGCACCCAACCTAGACATGATAGAGAGCCATAGAATGCCCTGGGTTGGAAGAGATGTGAAAGATCACCCAGTTCCATCCCCCTTCTATAGGCAGGGACACCTTCCACCAGAACAGGTTGC